GATCACTGCTTTCAAATCTCTTGGATGTAGATGCAGAAGTGGAATTGCTAGTATCCCTGTGTTTGATTTTTTTGAAGAACCAAAATACTAATTATTTTAAAACTTGGTGGAGACTGTCATTTTGATGACCCAGATGGTCACACGTCCCAGTGTTTATGCCCTTGCGTAGTTGTCTCCCACATTAACCGTGGGCTAGGCAAAGCGTCGGACGTGACTGAGCAACTGAACAACAAGGTCTGTCACTGCTTTGACTGGCAGAATACAGAGAAAGCAATGTTATGACAATTCCAAAACTAGATTTTAATTGATCTTACAGCTTCTGCCTTCTCCCTCTTGGAAGGCTTACTCTTGGAACAGTCCTGCTAGAACTCACCACCATGCCGTGGGCCAGGCCGAGTGGCCGTCTAGAGAAGCCTGCATGGAGAAGAGCCAGGTGCCGCGGTGACCGTCCAACTGGGCCCCCAGTCAAGTGCCAACTGACCCGATGCCCAGGGATCCCGGACATTTTAACCTCAGCTGAGTTCCCGGTCAGTGCTTCAGATCATTGCAATTGCCCACCAACACAGCTGACCCTGCGTGGAGAAGAACCACCCCATGAAAGACAATGCATTGTTGTTTTAAGCCACTGAGTTTTATTATCCAGCATTAGCTAGCTGAAACAAAAATCCTTTCAAATGTTTTGGAACAAGAGCGAAATACATTATACCTAATGTAAGATTGCTTAGAATTTAAGATACTTGATACAGAGTGAAATAGGCCCAGAGTCTTCAAAGACCTTAAATATCTTGGGCACGAACCAGCAAATTGTTGTTGCTGTTCAGCCACTAAGTCATGTTTGATTCTTTGTGACCCCGTGGACTGCAGCATGCCAGGCTTCCCTGTCCTTCACTATCACCCAGAGTTTGCTCCAATTCATGTCCATTGACTCAGCGATGCTATCTAATCACCTCATCCTCTGCTGCCTTCTTTTCCTCCTGCCCTCAATCTTTCCCAGCATCAGTGTCTTTTCCAATGAGTCCACTCTTCGCATCAGGTGGCCAAAGTATTGGAGCTTCAGTTTCATCATCAATCCAGCCAATGAAAATTCAGGGTTGATCTCCTTTAGGATTGACCAGTTTGATCTCCTTGCTGTCCAAGGAACTCTCAAACGTCTTCTCCAGGACCACAATTTGAAAGCATCAATTCTTCAGCACTCAGCCTTTTTATGTTCCAACTCTCACATCCATACATGACTACTGGAGAAAACATAGCTTTGACTAGCTGGACATTTATTGGCAAAATGATGTCTCTGCTTTTTAATATGCTGTCTAGGTTTGTCATAGCTTTCCTTCCAAGAAGCAAGCATCTTCTAATTTGAAGGCTGCAGTCACCATCCACAGTGATTCTGGAGCCCAAGACAATAAAATCTATCACTGCTTCCACTTTTCCCCTTCTATTTGCCATGAAGCGATGGGACCAGATGCTACGATCTTAGTTTTTTTAACATTGGATTTTAAGCCAACTTTTTCACTTCCCTCTTTCACCCTCATCAAGAGGCTGTTAGTTCCTCTTTACTTTCTGCTTTTAGAGTGGCATCATCTGCATATTTGAGATTGTTGCTACTTCTCCTGGCTGTATGGATTCCAGCTTGTGATTCATCCAGACTGACATATCATATGATGTACTCTGCATTTCTGGAGGAGGGCATGGCAATCCACTTCTATATTCTTTCCTGGAGAATCCCCATGGACAGAGGAGCCTGGCAGGCTACAGTTCATGGGGTCACAAAGAGTCGGACATGACTGAAGTGACAGCATGCAGGCATGCACTGTGCACATAAGTTAGTTAAGCAGGGTGACAATATATAGCCCTGTCATACTCCTTTTCTGATTTTGAACCAGTCAGTTGTTTCATGTAAGCTTCTATTTGCTGCTTCTTGACCTGCATGCAGGTTTCTCAGGAGACAGATAAAGTGGTCTGATATTCCTATCTCTTAAAGAATATCCCACAGTTTGTTGTGATATACACAGTCAAGGCCATAGTATAGTCAATGAAGCAGGTGTTTTTTTCTGTAATTCCCTTGCTTTCTCTATGATCCAATGACTGTTAGCAATTTGATCTCTGGTTCATTGTCCTTTTCCAAACCCAGCTTGAACATCTGGAAGTTCTTGGTTCACATACTGCTGAAGTCTAGCTCGGAGGATTTTGAGCATAATTTTCAGTTCAGTTCAGTTCAGTTCAGTCACTCAGTCGTGTCCGACTCTTTGCGACCCCGTGAATTGCAGCATGCCAGGCCTCCCTGTCCGTCACCAACTCCCGGAGTTTACTCAAAATCATGTCCATCGAGTCGGTGATGCCATCCAACCATCTTATCCTCTGTTGTCCCCTTCTCCTCCTACCCCCAACCTTTCCCAGCATCAGGGTCTTTTCCAATGGGTCAACTCTTCGCATGAGGTGGCCAAAGTATTGGAGTTTCAGCTTCAGCATCAGTCCTTCCAATGAACACCCAGGACTGATCTCCTTTAGGATGGACTGGTTGGATCTCCTTGCAGTCCAAGGGACTCTCAAGAGTCTTCTCCAACACCACAGTTCAAAAGCATCAATTCTTCAGCACTCAGCTTTCTTTATAGTCCAACTCTCACATCCATACATGACCACTGGAAAAACCATAGCCTTGA